AGGAGGTTCAGGAGTGGGGCCAGGACACCAGAAGCCCTCCCACTGTTGCCCCCCCCCCAAGCACCAAGAAGACAGAGCATCACTTGCCCCAGACATAAGAAGATAAGAGAAGCCCATGTTGGATCAGGCCAATGGACCATCCAGTCCAACACTCTGTGTCACACAATGGCCAAAAATATCAGGTACCCTCAGGAGGTCCAGCAGTGGGACCAGGAAACCAGGAGCCCTCCCACTGTTACCCCCCCCCCAAGCACCAAGAAGACAGAGCATCACTTGCCCCAGATATAAGAAGATAAGAGAAGCCCATGTTGGATCAGGCCAGTGGCCCATCCAGTCCAAGACTCTGTCACACAGTGGCCAAAAATACCAGGTGCCATCAGGAGGTTCAATAGTGGGGCCAGGACACCAGGAGCCCTCCCACTGTTGCCCCCCCCCCAAGCACCAAGAATACAGTGCATCACCTGCCCCAGACTGAGAGTCCCTATCTATACCTTGTGGCTAATAGCCACTGATGGACCTCTGCTCCATATGTTTATCCAGTTCCCTCTTGAAGCTGTCCATGCTTGTAGCCACCACCTCCTGTGGCAGTTACAAATGCTTTATTCCTAAAACAGCTGGGATATGAGGTTCGGGGGGTGGGTTTTAAATTGATTTGTGCTGCTTTGTAAAACCCATAGAACTACCGCTGCCCAGGAAAATTGCCAGAGGGTACCCCAAAGGAATCTGGTTTCAAAGCTGCCTGGAGTTTGAGCAAATACAATGGAATAAAAATGTTTAAAATACATTTAAATAAGCATATTCTACATGCTGGGTGCTCTTAAGCGAGCCATCAAGACCTCTTCTAGCAATGTTCAGTCCTCAGCTAAAGCAACAGCCTCCACATGGAAATACTACATGAAGGTCGCTTATCCAAGCAGCTTTTTCTATTGCCACCCCCATGAGCCTAGGATCCTGTTCATTGATCCGTTTGGGAAAAGCCTCTGTTTTCCCAAGGAATGTTTTTTTCTCCCATGTGAAGGCATGAATGTGATTGCTCTTAAAACTCTATCCAAAATGCTCATGGCACAGGAAGCTGCATCTAGTTTCTTGCTTTAAAACAAGAATTAGCCATAGCGTACTTGACAAGATTGTAGCAGTAATAAAGTTTTTATAACACTGGGTGCATACATGTGCTGAATAAATGATCTATTGAAACCATATTAAGCTTGTCAAAAGTATTCCCAGTTTTTCCCTTCCTCAGTAAAAATGTCTTTATTAGTCCTTCTTATAATTTGGTAAGAGCAGCTTTAAGAAATCATAATTTCTACAGAGGCTATCTTCCTACGGCTCTTTTCATGTCCTTGTTACAATGAATTGGAACAGCCACATTTTCCCCAATTCCTGTGTTTTAAGCAGGGGTCATTTCGTAGAAGAAGAGGTGCAGGAGCTCATTAGCATAACTTATTAGCATAACATATTTGCATATGACATACCCCCTGATGTCACCGGAAGTATGTCAGAAGGCAACACCCACTGCTCAGGCTCCACTGGGCTGTTTTGGATTGCTAGCTATTGGGGGGGGGGACGTGCAGATCTGCCCTCACAGAGGAGGGAGAGCTTGTACCTGAATAAAATGTGGTCTTAAATGTGCCACTGGACTGTTTTGGATTGCTAGCTATGGAGGGGGAGGGATGCACAGATCTCCCCTCACAGAGGAGGAAGAGCTTGTACCTGAAGGCGGGCCGGGGGTGGGGGGTTCTGCAACTTACCTGACTGCTTCTTGCTCCTCATGGCTGCGGAGAGCTGGGGGGGGGGGCTTGTTGCATGTGCCTATCCCCTGGGCTCCTTACTGCCAGAGCTCCGCAGGAAATGATCCCTGGTTTTAAGCATTTTATTTATTTACTTTTAAACAAATTAACCCCCCTTCTTCCTCTCTGGCACTCAATAAAGTGACATAAACATAAATTATCTTGACACCTGAGAATCACAGGCAAGTGAGCACTATTTAGGCTTTTAGTTTTGGGTACACCTGCTGGGCTTGGGGCAGACTTGAAACAACCCACACAAAGGGAAATGCTAAGAAAAGAGAGGTAATAACACCATTCGCCTCTCTTTTTCCTGGCAGCTAGGCCATGTTAGCAAGCCGTTCCTCTTTCAGTAGAATGATACACAGTGCAGTTAACTTTCCCCAGTGCATGGTAGAGTTCTTCCCATTTTCCTTTCTTTCTAAAGAGGTTTGGCTTACGTATTACCTGAAGAGAGAACCAGACCAGAGTGGTGTGATCATTCCTCTCCATTTCTGGCATGTCCCTTTGGGGTTTTTTTCTCCAACTCCACTCCAAGGGACGCTTCAGTGCCCCCATCGCCTGCCTGTAGAGCTCCTGCATGGAAGCGCGTGCGCACATGCAATTTTCCCACCCAGGCCTTGCTGAGATCTTTCTCAAAACTTCATAGTATGTAGCTGGGGTTTCTGGTTTGTAGCAATTTCTCCAGAAGGACCTTGACAGATCAAAACAGAGTAGAGTTCTCCTGCATTGAAGCCATGTGCACAGTTTTGGACACCTACCAAACTGCCCCCTTTCCCGTAGCCGTAGTGCTGAGAGAAGGTTTCCCATGAGTGCCATAACTGGGAGGTAGCAAGGGCTGCAGAGTGGTTGGCTGGCTGTTCTTCTGCGCTCTGCCATGTGTGGGGGCCGTGTGTCTCCCTGCTTACTAGGATTGAAGGGGAACCCAGATGAGCAGATCGCAAGGGATGACAGCACTTCCAATTTCTAACACTTCTGTGCTTGCCTTGCTTCAGCTACCTAGTAGGATCTGTGCAAACAGACAGCCTCATCTAATAAACATGACATTAGAGGCAGCCAGCATTTAATTGCTGTGGCATTTTGTTCCTCCCAGACTCCAGTGATGTCATTCTTGGCAGCCTTGCAGTGGGAGCAGGGGGGGGGACAAGAGCTGTGCTTTGCTTTTCTGAGCACTTTCCTCCCAGGAGAAATGATTACTTGCTTGGTTTGCTGTTTGCTCAGAGAATCACGTTTTCCCCAAAAAAAACCCAGCCTGGTGAAGGATTTACCAGTGGACGAATGGTAGCCCAAGTAAGAAGCAGTGTAAGGCATTTCAGGGGACGCGGGTGAACTGCTGGGCCTGCCTGACTCAGTATTACAGTGTCACCATAGCTACTTGGCTATTGTTTGGTAAGAATTTCTTGGACTTAGGAGAGAGGCAGTTGCTGCAGAATGGTTTGGAGAGTGAAGGGAGTAAGCTGGAGCCTATTGCGGCAGGATTTGTGTGTGGCTTCCGTCTCTCAGGAAGGTGGCAACTTGTTTTCTACTTTAGCAGTATTGTCGTGATTCAGGTCGCAGCCTTGACTCCAGGGCAAAACCCAAGTGCTTCATTAAAACCACAGCTAACTCTTACTCCAAAAGGAACTTGAGGGACCGGACAATTGAAAACACAGTCTGTGATGTAGGCCTGTGCCACACAAAAACACACAGGCCAAGTCACAGCTGCTCAGAAGGAACACGGCTGTCTGGGGAATAAGTTAACGGAGAACACTGGAAGTGGGAAACCTTTTGAGACGTAAATGCCACTAATGGTTAAATGGAGAAGGATAGATGGTTTACCCTGGTTCTAGATAAGCTGCTGGCATGGGGAAGTCATTGGGGAATTTCACATTACCCAGTTTCACCTGGTTTCAAGCCGGTAATGATCTGTTTTGAAGTGAGACATGGCTTTCCCCTTCCGGTAAAGAGCTGGATCTGAAACGGTTTGCCATTTCAGACTGCACCGCTTTTTCCCACTTTTCCCCCACCATTTTTCGCCCGTGTGGGCGATCTCCGGCTTTTTTTTTAACGTTCACTTTATAGTGCTATAGTACTATAGCAGTATAACAAAACACTCCATGCATTCCCATGGGATTGATATAATGCTATTCCGTTATAGCGCTATAGTGCTATAACACTATAAAGCAAACGTTAAAAAAAAAGCCGGAGATCGCCCGCACGGGTGAAAAACGGTGGGAAAAAGCGCATCGGAACCGGGAGAGGAAACTGAGGAGTACTTGGAAGTGGTTGACAGGTAAAATGCTTCAGCCCCGTTTCCTAAACGGGACAGAAGCGATTGTGTATGAAATGACAAATATATTCCGGAAGGGAACTGGTTCTCAAACGGTTCTGTCTGAAATGACAGACTAGAAACTATTTGGGAACCGTTCCTCTTCCGGAATATGTCTGAAATTCCTCATAGAGATGTCCTGAGTGTTCCCAAGAGATGCCTGTTTCCTCACTTACTGGCCTTTGATGGTGGGTGTGGGAAATTCTGGAGTCATGCAAAAGTGCAAGGCTGCCTCTTCTCTTCTCTTCTGACCCCTGTCTTTTCCCACTCCCTTCCTCCCTCCTTTAGATGAATCCAGTCTGAAGATGAACGAGGTGGAACATGTGCCTCAGTCCCTTGCCAGCTATGCCGGCAGCTATCTCTGGGGGACACAGAGGGACGAGCACGGAGCAGATATGCTGAAGCCTGACCCGCGAGACACTTTCTTCCTCAGTAAGTGGGAGAGGTCCTTCCGCCAAAGGCTGCTACGCTTGCCGTTGGCCCATGTGTGAGAATCAAGGGGAACCAGGAGGAGTCCCAAGAGGAAGGTCAAAGGCATTTTTGAACCTGCTGCCATGATGTGTGCATTTTTTTGTGACACCGGGCTGGACCAGAGCCCAGAACTTGATCACAGTGACCCCCTCCTAGCTTAGGAGACATACTGCTGGTTGTTAGAGAGCAGTGTAGCATGGTAAAAAAAAAAAGTAGGCCCTTGCAAGTTATCTAAATATGGCTATCAACAGGGCTATTTTTGGGCAGGAACGCACAGGAACAGAGTTCCGGCTGGCTTCCAAGTTGGCCACGCTCAACAGCAGAAACTCATTAGGATTGGCTACATTAGGGGTGTGTGGCCTAACATGCAAAAAGCCCTGGGTTTTGACAACAAACAAGGTAAAGAGAATATAAAACAATAGGTGGGTGTGGCTGGATGACCACACTTCTGGTAACATGGGGGTGTGGCCTAATATGCCAATAAGCTGTGCTGTCAGGGTGTGGCCTAATATGCTAATGAGTTCCTGCTGTTGGGTATGGCCTATTATGCTAATGAGTTCCTGCTGGGCTTTTTCTACAAAAAAAGCCCTGGCTATCAGCAATATAGCGATTGAGACACTTATACAGGCTATTGTTCCTCTGAAATCATGAAGCAGGGTGACCACTCTCTTGTCTGCTAGACTTGGGATGCTGGGTATGGGAACTCTGTGTGTCTGTGGGGTTATGAAAAGGGTGGCTGGATGACACTAGAGATGGATCTGGTCTTGGGAAAAGGTTTCTCGAACAAAGAACTCCAGACGTGTCCTCCTCGCTCTCTAGAAAACTTGAGTAACAGGCGCTTGATGACTGCACACAATCTGGGTGAAAGCCAGGAGACCTATTGAAATGACAGTCCCTGCAGGGTGGGTCAGTCATAATTATTTGCAGTACCTGAAGGGTTCTCTGTGCTAAAACAAGTTAAAATTCTCCACTGAGATAATCCAAAGTGTGTGTTAGGAAAAGCAGAATTCTTCTCCCCTAGTATATATTATGGAAGTTAAGAGAAACCATACACATGGCTTATTTTATACAACTTGTTCCACGGTTTTTACCGTGTTGTATAATTTATCCTTGGGGAGAAGCAGGAGATAACATGGGGCTCTGAAGCCCCACTGGGCAGCGCATTCCTGAGGGTCACTGTGATGCCAGTGTATTAGTGGTGCAGCTGGTCAGCCCTCTGTAGATAGTCTGTGTTGGGGGGAGGGATAACACATCACCCTCTGCAAGGCGTCGATTGCAAAGCACGTGCACTAGAGACCATAGCAACCCCAGCACCATCCACCAATCAGGCAACAGCACCCGATGACATCCCTTTGAGTGGCGCACACAGGCACAGCCAGCCTGTGGCTGCGAACGTGGCCACCACCCCGCAACACTACTCCCTCCCCCTCGGTGATGAAAGTACGGTGGTGAAGGACCCAGCGACAGTGCAACCCCAACAGAGGCACGTGGCTGGAGCATCTCCCCCATAAAGGAAGGTCACCTACATGAACAGGATGCCCACCTGACCACCACCACCACCCCAAGCCAACAGTCCAACTAGCAAAAGTGCTGTGTAGTTGCAAGGGAGCGGGGACTGCAGCTGTCATGGCTGCAACACATGAATGCTCATAGGGAACGACAGGCCACTGGACTTGTGTTACATTTCTCAGCTCAGCTCAGCAAAACCAAGGTGCAGTGGAACCATGAAGAAAGGCACCGTCAGTCCCAGCACGAGGTTCCCACCCCTTCAGATGTGTAAACAGGAGACTGTTCCAGGTAGCCCCGTGGGGAAATCACAGAAGAGGGGGTTGGGGCAGAGACTGGTGTGGTGTGAGGGAGAAGGGGCCAGGGAGCAGGTCTTATCTGCCTAGTGACAGACAGAAAAGAAGTTGTAGATCACTCCAGACTTTATTGAACAGTAGTAGGGGAATAGTAACAAGGTGTCCAGTATGGCTACTCTAGGTTGTAGGTAGGGGTAGGGGTAGAGATGAGGTTAAGCTCTCTCTCCAACACAGCATGCCTACAAGTGAGGTAGACATCCTGGACAGGTGGCTGCCTGAACTGGGCTGGAACCAATGAGACAGCAGCCACATAGCAGAGTGGTAGAATCCGCACTCCATCATCACTGCGTCAGGAATGTCATCCTCACAGGAGAGGACTCTTCCCTGTGGAATCACTGCCCGTCAGGGCTTTTTTTTCCCTGGAAAAAGAGGTGCCAGAACTCTCCAGAAAGAAATGAAGAAGAAACACACAGGATTCTTTGAAACCGTAGTATTTTCATGTACTACAGACTTACCTCTACTTTAAAGCAGTTTCCAAACTTTAGACATGCAACCAACTTCCTTAGTTCTTTCTCAGGTCTTGCTTTTGGTGCCTAACACTGAATAGTGACCTTGAAGCAACCATGTTTTAAGATATTTTGTTGGATCAAAAACTGTTAAGGGAGGTCCAACAATTTTTATAAACAATAAATATGGTTTTGACTAACAAGGAGGATCTTTCTGGAGGGACAATCAGGTTCATCTGGGGAAATCCCCTTTCACACTCACAGGAGGAAATGGCTATTGTATCGAGAGTGTGCCAAACCCGAGACAGTTCCTTGGGCATTTCTTCTCTGAATGTTAGGTGTTCTCTGAAGGTTCAAGTGGCTTCTCTTTCATTGAGATGAAATCTTCTTGCCAATGTGCAAATTTCTTCTTCACCATAGAGAATGTTGTCCCTTGAATTTGCTGGCCAATTCTTAGAATCCAGAACTCTTCCACACCTTGATAGTTCTGTGTCTTCTTTTGAAAGCAGTCTTTTCTGAAGAGAAATTGATCCATCGTGGAGTAAACCGGTATAGGGCTGCCATTTCGCACATGGCTTTCCCCTACCGGTAAACAGCTGGATCTGAAGCGGTTTGCCATTTCAGACTGCACTGCTTTTTCCTGCCGTTTTTCGCCCGCACAGGCGATCTCCGGTTTGTTTGGTTTTCACTTTTGCTTTAGAGCGCTATAGCGCTATAACACAACACTCCAGGCATTCCAAAGTGAATGTTTTTTTAAAAAAAAAGCCAGAGATCACCCACGCGGGCGAAAAACGGCAGGAAAAAGTGTTTCGGATCCGGGAGAAGAAACTGAAGACTACTTGGAAGTGCTTTACAGGTAAAACGGTTCAGCCCCGTTTCCTGAATGGGACAGAAGCGTTTGTGTGTGAAAGTACAAATATATTCCGGTAGGGAACCGGTTCTACAACGGTTCTGTCTGAAATGTCAGACCAGAAACCGTTTGAGAACCGTTCCTGAACCGGAATATATTACCTGTCTGAAATGCCTCATCGTCAATGATGACAAACAGTGCAGTCGCCCTTACCACTGCAGCCCAGTAGGGTCGATGAGGGGGCCTCCATTTGTCGGGACACCTCCCAAGCTGCATGCCATCGCCATCCTTACACATCCTCTGTGTGGGCTGTAGCTCAACTGTATCCACTTCATCTGCTTTTGCTGCTGCCTAGGACTTCAAGGCCATTACACCATGATTGCTTGGCCAGCAGATCCACAGACACAGTGGGGCAGCGGCCTGTCACTCCCCCTAACTCCAGCTGTGCCCCATTCCCCACTTGGGGAGCTGCCCTGGCAAGAGTCTGTGCTGAAAGCCCCATACAGGGCTGCCAGCACCCCTGCCCTCCTGGCATCATCGCTAGCACTCTTAGGTACACTTTCCTGAGAATATGCCCCCAGGCATGACCTGGGGCATACTGTTGGGTATAGCTGCCTTGGGTTTCTCCCATACACACACATCACTAGACTTGGTTGTAGCAGCCTGTGTTGTCAAGGTGGTGTCCAGGGTGCATGCAAAGGGGGTGGGGGAGGCAGGGCTGCTGGATCTCCACCCCGACTCACCTGTCAGTGTGCACACTGCTCCTTTGGTTTGTGTCTTCAGAGATGGTGTGTCTGTATGAAATGAGAAGCAAGAAGGTTTGTCCTTCCCCCTTGGGTGTAAGGGCCAAGCGCCCCCTCTGTGCCTTTCTTACCAGCAGTGTGAAATGCTGCACACTCTTAAGTATGCATGTCAGAGGACTCAGAGACAGAGTCCCGTACCACCCACTTGGTTATCTCTGCTATGGAGTGACCTGGCTCAGGTTTAACTAGTGCTGGATGGAGGGCTGTGATTGCGTCTGGGGTGCGAAGTGTGACTGGCTGCAGACATAGTTGGCCTCTTGTGCTATGCCAGGACTTGTAGATAGAACTGCGCCGGGGGAGGGGGGGTGTCCTTTTTTGTAGCATGGGGTATATGGCTGCTGCAGTTTTTCCTGGCATACCTTCACACTGGTTCTTGAGGGGGGGTTTCCCAATCTGGGGCAGTTTAAGGAGCTGACGAACTCTAGCCACACTATTGGGCCTGCCCCCTTCCACTTTGGTGTTAGATAGAATCCTTCCCATTTTTAAAATCTTCATCTCCAGCATAACGGCACATGACTTGAGCCGCCTTGCATTTTTTTGGGAGATTAATAATACATAACATGCAACTTGTCCAAAAAAAACCCTCTTAAATCCATTGATGCCAGAAACGTCTTTTGTAACATCCTGCGATCCAAGACTCGCACGCCTGGGAGTCAGCCTGTGGAGCAGCAGCCGGGGCACACTGCAACCAGGGGGGGGGAAGCCTCCATCGGGTCGGCTGCAGTTGATTTTCTCTCTCCTGGCCAAACCCCCCGCCCCGGACTCTCCTCATGGCTCGCAGCCCATGCCTTGCCCTTGGCAAGAGCAACAAGTCCCCTATGCTGTCTGGCTGCTTTCCTGCTCGCTCACAGCCGCTGATGGGCATCCCCTCATTTAAATCTT